TTACTATTCATCGCTGGAATTAAAAATTTTCCCACCAGTATTTGTCGTATTCTGAATTTAAATCTCTCTATCCGTTTTGTTGTCTTTAAACCAAAAAGATCTATGGAATTGCATTTTATAACCTCAGTTTCAGTAAAATTTATTTTGAAAGAATGGAACACTCCTACGTAATATGAAAGCTATTAAGAGAAGTAAAGGATATGATAAAAAGATGAAAATGGTTCACTAGAAACAATCAGAAGTACCATTCCTTCAGATGGAGAAGTGAGGCAGTTATTGTCTTCCCTTTTCCAATGTGGAAAAAATTTTAAATAAGAAAAAAAAAATCAAATTTAGTTTCGGTAGCAAAACAAATTTTCCATTGAAACTTCCTTCGTATTAAATAAAATGGAAACTATTCCTTAGAACACGAAGTAAGAGATTTTCACACATTTTAGAAAAATTTAATTTTTGTGAACAACTTTAATAAAGCCAAGTCGATCAAACCAGTAAATAGGAAAATCTTCTCTTCAGCAAATATTTTGAATAATTTTGAAACTGTACTTTTTATCTTGATTTCTTTTGTTAATTAATTAATTAGTGTGTCCCAAATCTTCTTCCTTCTTATCCACTTACGATGTCAACTAGGAGCATCCCCTTCACCTTTACTTGTGCTTAGTAATTTCAAAATAAATGCTCTTGAAAGAATTCTTGAATTAAGAAGTGTCTAGTCTCGTTGATCCAGTTGAATCCAGTATTTATTTTTCTTCATTTAGAATATCAGTAACTTTAATTTCTTAATGCAACTATCACTGAGATGATCAATTTCTGCACCGAGAATCTTTTTTCTTTTATTGAGGATAATGTGGTGCAAAAAGTAACATGGCATTTTATTCTGAACTCACTTGTTTTATATTTTTTTGCTTTTTTTTTTTTTTGAATTGCTTAAATAACTTGGAATACATTTTTAAATTAATCGGATCAAATTAATGGGACCCATTTAAAGATGTCATTCACAGTTATAATAGATTCATACAGAATGAATCCATCAGAATTTGCATAATTTTGATATCCAAACTATGAATCACCAATGTTTTCGTTTCAGAGACTAATATGCACTTCTTTACCCATTTAAGTCGGTTGTTGGCAGCATTTTTCGAAATTGTCTAGTGGCAGGTATTGGCCATTCTATTACGATAACTGATTCAACAAGGCTACTTATTCAAAGTACCATTATCGATTAGTCTGTTGTCACTCTCTAAGTATAGATGTAACACATAAAATCTTCAGTCAATCAAATTCAATAATTACGATGTGAGCTATTTGCACTTCATTGGAGACTTATTATGTGTCTTTATTTAATTATTTGTACATATTTTTTGCTTTATCTTTTAGTTTAGTTCATCCGACTATTCTTTTCACTTCTATACACTTTTTAATCCGCAAAATGGAGTTGATTGAACAATTTTAGCTTTACAACACATATACATTCATGTTGGATCCAATTGTTCGCTTTTTTTATCTGTAATTCATTGAGTTTGGAATTTTTGAAATTTGCAGATTAATTTCTTGTAGCAAACGAAGATACTGCATATGATGAGGGAAATTTTGGGTGACATAATTAGGCCAACGCACTACGGATTAGAATGGGAACTTCCACGGATAAGTGATGTTTTGGAAACAGACTTCTTCTTACCTATCCTAATTTATTTCATTATCTTACAAATTCTTGGATATTTGGTCAAGCAACTTCTGTGGATAAGTTATTTACAATTAACGTATGTTACCTTAATTATTTCGAGAGGGATTTATTTATCTGAAAAGAAGTGTGACACTTCCTTTTAAAGGATATTTAAATGGCTGCTGAATTAATTAAGATATACAATCTCTCTTAAATAAAAAAGTAAGTGTTCTTTGTTTATTCCATCAAATCATTTAATTGGAGAAAGTTCCATTTACGGTTGTTCAGCACTATCAGTAGTAATTTAATTAATTGTGTGAAACAAACACTCTCCAGGCGCCATCGGTTGCAGAACTTGACAGTGTCATTGGTCCATTCATGTATCGCGGGCTGCTCTTCATTAATCTTCTTTATTACACGTCCAATAGTCATGTTGGAAGATGCAATACACTGGTACAATCCAGTAGCTGCTCAATTAATTTATTTTTCAATGGGTAAACTTGCAGATATTTGAAATTTGTTGTGAGGAAGTTTTTAAATTAAAAATCTTGATTTGAAAAACAAGTGTCTACTTTTTTAGAAAACATTTCTTCTAAAACTTATATATTTTACCTGATAATTTAAACTGTGGCAAAATATAATAGGCAGATTTTGAAGTTACCTCAGATTTAACAAGCAATTTTGAAGCATATTTTCTTTACGACACCACGGATGTTATAAGAAATGATAGTTCCTGGCATGCGATCGTAATCCTGGCTCACCACACTGTCGTGTACAGCATTTTTTCTATTGGAATGCTTTCCCACAAGTTTCTTCCATACACTTACTGGGCCTTAATGGTCGAAATTAACACGTCAGTTTTCAGTAATTTTTCCATCTCAAAATTACCTGAAGCCTTAATAATTTTTCAATTTCTTCAGGTCTTAAGAAAACAGTAACAGGAGCTCTTTATAAGCCTTAATAATACTGTTCTACTTTATTATTTTGGAGCATGCATAACTTACAGAAGTTTTTTACATGTTCGTTCGATCATGAGACTTACCAATCGAGATCCATGTAAAAACTTCCGTTACAAAACGATCTCTTTACTCGCGTTTATGACGTAAGTCTCTCTCTGTTTTTACACCTCGTTGATTTGTAAAAAGTTTCAAAAAAGGAAAATAATGAATTCAAGTCTTTTTTAATTTAATATTCATTTAAGGAGAAAATCATTTCGTTGCGAAGGAAAATAAAATTACAAATAAATAAAGAAACACTGCACTTTTAGATCTGAATAGGATTTTTTTCTTGTAATCTTAGTTTTTCATTTCAGTCTTTGATTGCAATTCTGCATGAATTCCTAGTAGTAAGATTGTTTGCAAAGTTCCTTTTCAGCTTTTTTGTGTTTCGACTTGGTACACTGTTATGGATGATGCTTTTCATGGTGATGAACTATGGGACATTTCATCCCTTCTATACATATAGCAGTTTAACCGCCGAAGTGTTTTTTTTTATTTTCAGTATATTTCTTCTGCGGCACCTACTTATTGAAGAGGGCATTCTCGAAAAGGCAGTATTATAGGGATTTACACAGGTTCGCTTATCTGTAAAAGTTCTTTTGTTTGATTGACAGCTTACTGAACATCAATTATTTTCTGATGATGATTCATAATAAGCAAATTCTGTGTTGGGAAATTTGACACAACGATCTTCAGGCGTAATTTGGTAAATTGCAAGATCAAGACAATCTTAATAGAGTTCCCGACCGGAACAGATATAGACCATGAGAGATTGATATTTTATATAAAGTGTTCATAGTTTACTCACATAAAAAATGATGCAGGCAATGGTTTTAGAGAAACTAAAATTTAATTTATATTTCAATTTTTTTTTCAAGTACAAGTGTTCCATTCATATACTTACTGTGTCATGAATAACTAATTAATTGGTCTATGAAAAGCGTGTAAATTGTGGACTGCACCTGAAGTTCCCATTTCTTATAGGATATAAGAAGCATTGCGCGATATTATCATATCTGGTTTTGTATAACTAGTTATAAGATGCTAATCTCAAAACATCACATATACTTCGAAGTGTTGTTAGCTTAGCTTGTTTATGCATAATTATGGCAGTAATAAATTATAATAAATTCACTTAATAATAAATTGGTAAATTTTTGTTAATAAATTAATCGTTCTCAATTATATCTATGACTTGTCAGGTTATTTTAAGAAACAAAATTGTATTATGTATTAATATTATCATTATTTCTCTTACAGCGTATGTTCCTGTCAAAAATTTTTTCAATGTATAGTAAAAATGCGTGTATAAACATGTATTTTCCATGATATTTTAAATTTTACAACCTGCTGAGATTTCATTGCTCAACAGAATTTCAGTATAAGTATTTATACACTTATGCATCATAAAGGTTAGTTATAAAGTCAATAATTTCAAAAGCACCAAAAAAAAAAAAAAAAGACTAAACAGTTGAAAAAAATAAGTAGTCACTAACACGTGATCATATAAAGTAGTAAGGAAAAATAAATCTGAAACAGTTCGCCACCAAAACATTGTTTATTTCGTCGCCATCCCAGAATCAATACTCACTTCTTCAGTCATTAATTAATGGAGTCGCAATGGTATTAAGACCATCTGGAAGAAATATATATTTGAATTCATTGTGCAATAACAGCAACAACGCTGTAAAACGCAATAAGACAGATTCCATCAAATTTCATAAACCAAAAAAAAAACTAATTTTATTTTTAAGCTAATAACTGTACTAGTAATCTAAGAAATCAATTGAAGGAATAATTTAAGACTTAGAACAAAAAATATTGGTGTCGAGAAAGATTTTTGGAATGCACTTGCCCAATATAAGAAAATACGTTTATCTTATATTGCCTGATAAATGGTCAGTGATTTTATTTCTCTGCGAGTGATCCTTTCTTTAAGTCTATTAAGTTTGATAAATAAACTAAGCTATTTGTGCTCTGTTACAAACTCATTACTTCTCTAGTTTGGAAATTGTGTTCAGTTTGGTGATTGTGACACATAATCTAACAGACACTTAAATCGATGAAATTTCAAATAAGAGGGTAGTAGAAAAAGTTGCTACACTTTCAAAGAGTTTTAAAATGAAGTCTGGAACACGACAGAACTTTTGACTTTCCTAAGGAGCTTGGTTTGAAAAGATAGCAATTGCAAATATTGCCATATAGCACTTTGTCCATATGACAGTATAAAATATTATTTGTCATAAAGAACCATAAAAAAACATTTGTGCTGAACGAAGTGTTCAGTACAATTTTTATAGAATAGTCAGAAAAGGGAAGACGATAAGATCTGAATCTGATCGATGGTTTTCGACTTGCACACATTATCATTCCGATCGACATTGTGCGTAGAAAGTTTTTCATTTATATGATATACTCTCTTGCTATCTCTTTCAACACTTTAGAATAAAAAATTCTCTTTTTTTATTTTAGGAAAATAGTGAAACAGTTACGACTGTGCAAGATATATAGGAAACGAATTTGCAGCTGCAGGAAAAACTGCAGATCACAATTAATGAAGTAAAGAAATCTGTGTCAAAGTCATTTTTGCACTTTTACCAATTCAGCAACTCTGCGCTATTTTTGTTTTCTTTAAGTAATTTCAGAAGATGGAATCTGCTGAATAAGAAATGTTTATGCAATCCTTTTTTGATCTTTGGTTGTGATCTGATCAGATCTGACCCAGTCTGATTTAATATTATAGTAAATGTGGGATACAAATTATCACATGTAGCACACAGATGCAATTGTCTATATATTACTTTTTGCATTAACTGTGTAACTGAATAATGATATAAGTGGCCTGTCAAAATGATTTTTTAAACATTTTTTTCACATTTTCTGCGTGAAGAAATCACATTTAATTTATATATAGAATGTTTCAAATTTTTGGATTCATGTAAAAACATGAAAAACGTATGTAATATTCCTGTTCACATAAAGAATCTGTAAAAGTGACATATCTTATTTCTGTACGATTATTATTCATTCATTCGCAATATTTGACCTTTTGCTTCCATTCTGGGTAAGTAAATGTTAGCATCTCATTTTATATGAGATTTACATCTATACCGATTTAATGACGAAGATATATTTGTGAATTTGCAAGCACAAGATGAGTTTATAAAATGTTTTAGTGTGAGACTCTCTTAATGCAAATTGTAAGTTTAATAACTTAATGTTTAAATCTCAGAAAATATGCACGTTAAAGATAACAACTGAAACATTTTCTCGTGTCTTACAAAAAAAAGGATTTAATTTGCCAAGCTTATTGCGTGACATGTTACGTGACAACTTATTACTATTGCTTCCATTCTGGACATTGAATCGTATACAGCATACAGCAAAATATAGTGCAAAATGAAGCGCTCAATTTCAATGTTGTCCACGAATTTTGATTAAAATGAAATTCTATGAACACTACCATTTCATATGCAATAACAGAATATATTATGTACGTCTACCCTTCCGCAAATCCATAATTGTTTCCACGTAAACTCCACGCATGAATCATGGATTCTATAAAGTGATATGTTGAAAACCTACCACTTCCATTTTCATTGATTGTTAACTTTTCTTTTCTTCCATCTTCTTTGATTCTCTGTTTGACTGCTAGCAGTTCTATAGGATTTTAAATGACCTCTTTATAAGTAACAGAAGTCATAGAACACTGAAAAAAGAGCTTGATCAATTTCTCGTGACCGTTAGTAAGTATAACTTACAGTGAGTACAAAATTGGAGCAGTATGGTTCAAAAACTCCATTCCAAAATCACTAGTATTGTATTTCTTATTATCTCATCTTTTTTTTAATCTCAAAGAAGAATTTAAACTGTTACCACAACTTTTCAAGTTATTTTATGCCAATGAAGAAATAAAAAATTCCTCATCCAATCATTCATTTGCAATAAAGGTACATACATATATGAAGTAATTGCTTGCAAATTTTCTATTGTCATTTAATTAGCTGAAAATTCTGCAATCCTTACTATCATTGCATTGATATATTGCATCTGATTTACTCGTTTATAGTTTATTTATTACTTACAGATTGTAATTAATCTAATTTGGAATGCATAGACTTCATATTCTAAACAATCACTCTGCAAGTACTAGCGTGCCAACACCTATAACTATGGTTCAACAGAAGGTAAAGCTGTTGATCAAATATTTCTAATCACTTGTCTGTATCACTTGTTCGAATATTACTGTGACGACCTTCAAGCCCTCATTATCACTTTTCAGGGATACCAAAAAAGGCAGGTTTTTCAGTTACGTACTGAATCTATAAACAAGTTACAGGCTAAAAGAAGAATGGTCTTATATCATCGATACATATCACATACATCAGGTAATTCTACAGCCTTAATATCGATCCTTTCAGTGATAATCGCTAAGCAGAATTTTCGGATTTGTGATTATATCAATATCCACTGGCTACTGTTATTTATTTTTCTCAGTACGATTTTGTAGATCGCATTTCACATCCAATGGATGGGACCGATAAGGGAGGCTTTTTGAAAGAAATGAATAATTTCTCTCTTTATGAAAACAGTAATCATATAGTACTGCCAAAGAGAAAGCAAGAATCGAAACCGCTATTGCGGTGCTTTTATTGTGGTGAATGGTTCGACAGAAATGATAATACTTCTGGTTCTTGCAAGTAATTTGTTATTTGTATTTTTATAAATGTGCAGCAGCATCTATTCAACAGCAGATAAGGAAGTTCTCTACCGTAATTTTTTAAGACAACTATCTGAAAATGACAAATACGTGTGTTTACAGAGAAGCTCCTGATCCCATCGAGCGTACAATTCGTTTTCTGACATGCTATCCGATAGCGGAAGGTGCTGTATATCATTGCTGTAGGAGTGATGACGATATGCCTGCCAATATTAGTCGTTTTGGACAGGGATACGTTAGTTTTTGAAGAAAACAAATCGACTTTAATTTCCATATAAAATTAAATAGAACTGTCATTTAAATCTAAATGAAATTTCGTTACTTTGAAAGTTTCCTAAAAATCATCTTAAATATTTGTTACTAAACACTATTCATTTAAGTCAATATTATAGATTTCACTTAATTAGTTATAATCAAGTTATTATAAAAATGCTTAGGACTGATAAGTTAATATCAATAGAAATTGCAGAATGTGTTCTCATTTGGATCACACCATATATCACTATTGAAACGTATGAAACGATGGCTATTTTTGGCGCTTATGTCGCTGGCAGTACCGTGTCTTTGTTGTTATTTCCCAGCTCATATGATAAACAAATGTTTCGGCGGTGGTAAACGAGGACGTCATCAGTCATATCATTTCACCTCTACTTTTGAAGGCTAACAGCTCTGCACTATTCACTTCAAATCCCAGTGCTGCTAGGAGATATTATCAACAATGGAGCGAAACATGAAATGACAATAAATAAATCCATATCTTATACTTTGTGTGATCTTTGAAGTAATTTTCAGAGTTGTGTGATCTTTGAAGTAATTTTCAGAGTTTCGATCTGTGGGCCTAGAAGTAAAATTCTTGTTGTAGGGAAAGGAATTAATTACGATGAAATTCTTTGTAATCAGTTCATTCCATCTGATCTGCACTATTTACTTTACAGATCTTCTGAAACCCTAACTGAATTCATTATTCTGAAATATTAATAAATTGAAAATTCATCATTCATCCAATTTTTCATATTGACAAAAAATAATCCCAGTAATTTGAATCAAATTTTGTTGACAGCGTCTTGAACTGAACGTTTAGTTTTAATTGCTCTAAGCGTTCGGTAAATTATAATCTATAACATTACCCAGCAACATAATACTATTGGCATTTAACAGTTCGTTAATTGGATGATTAAGAGAGATCCACTAAAGATAGGAGAAAGAGATAAAGCGTAGCAATGTTGGACAACATTCAAACCGTTTAACTTCAGACGGGCAACACGGTTTGAAACGTTGCCCATCAACGCATGGCTTATGTGGAAAGGAATCAAGCAAAGTAGAATCATTGATTCAGAAAGTGAAGAGAGTGTGGAGGTTAAAATATATAGGTAATCATATCTATTTTTACTTGAGACTTTAGCATTTTACATTCCAAACGATTTAACTTCTATGCTAAGTTTCTGACTTTAAATGAAATGGCTGTTTACTTATGGCTAATTTTAAAATGGAATTTAGATAAGAATGTAGTGAGAAACACTATATGAAAGAGTAATTCAGAAAAAACTTGAAAGAAATTTAAATCTCTTTAACGTAAAGTAGCTGCTCAGTTTTTTTGATTTAAATCAAATTATTCGTCAGTGACAAAATTCATTTTCGTGGCTTGACAACATCGGTCGTCGCTTACTTGACTTAAAGTGAGACTTACTTAAAGTGAGAAAAACAGCTACGCCACCGACGTTAGAATGGATGACTCTCGGTGATCAATGATTGAGTGTTACGCTGTGAAAGAGCGCGACGAGAGCGGCCCATCTAGAATGAACACGTGAGAAATCAGCTGTATGGAATCGGAGGTGAAATGGAATGGGAGTGTGAAAAGTTTAACAAAGCAGGCAAGCAGACATGCACATGCACTTGCACTTACACTTGCACATAATTTGTTTGCTAAGCACTCGGCTATGCTAATATTTTCGTTCGTTTTCAGCTACAAAAACCGTAAAATTCATTTTAGAAAACATTTCAGAAGATGAATGTGGTGACAGTGATAGTAGTATACTCATAATATCACTCATGCTTTTGTTTGAAGCCAGAGATCGCCAAAAATTCTGCAGACGACACATGCTGCTGACATTATCAAAACTTCATTCTATTTCTTCATTTCTGGACTCTTTTTTTCTGCTACCAAATACCTCAGAGATTAAAGTCGCACAGCGGAATTTCAAAATGGGTTCGAGTAATATAAAACAATAATACGCTAAATATTGGCAGTGGTACGCAGGAATATTACAGGACAGAACGATCATTAAGCAAACAGTACAAAGTTGTGTATGTATCACCGACACATGCATTTCCCATTCTAATGCAAAATACCAATGCATACATTCGAAATGATTATGTTTCTCAGTACTGATATGGCTAAGTAATACTGACAATAACAGCAATATGCATAAATATGTAGTAGTAAGTATTACTGATTCATTTCGATAAACGAACAGAAAAAAGTACCACAGTTTAGTTAGTACCATATATTGTTACTTATTTACTTTGATTATTGGCTCAATTGGTGCCAATGAACTCTTCAAATCTCGAAATCGTAATTTGATTAAAAATCCCGATAAAATGCAGAAAAGATTAAAGAAAATGATGATAGTAGTATGTGATAAAGCATCTGTAACAAAAATGCATCACTAGAAATGACGAGTTAGCTTCCAAAAGATTACAAAACAACACACATTCTCATCATTAAATTGACAATGCAATGAACATTTTTTCAGCCCTAAAATGATAAGAATAAACAGTGACACCTCTCCTTTTTACTTTTCTTCTTTTTTTTTTTTTTTCTTACTAATTTAATCGCTAATAGATTTTGAGATAGAAGAAAATCAAAAAAAGTTATTCTAAGATTTAGACAAATAGGAATTTCATTATTTAATGAAAGAAAAACACATCTTCAAGGCGAAAAACTCTAGAAGTAACTAAAATAATCATCGTTTGAGAGAGTCAAATCTAAAAACTTAAGAATTGATATAAGGTAATAAAAAAGAGGAGAAAAAAGTACATATACGTATGAATTCAAATTTAAGTCTATGTTCAAGCAGACAGAAAGTTTCATGGAACAGTTTTTTTCGTACGCATCACATTTTTTTTTCCCTCCAGATGTTTACTGCATGTACTGATAAGTTTCAATGCTAAGATAATACTGATTGTTCGCTTGTTTGAAATATTCAACTCAGAACAAAATGTTATTGATTACCACAAAATTTATCACAGATAAAATTTTATTGAGTAGAATCAAATGTAATTCCCTCGAAATACCACAGTGATAGAACTGCTCACTTTTAATAATTAAGAAATAGTTTACATTTTATTTCTGTTATCATTTCCTCTCACACTGAATTTCTCTTCACGTAATGAAATGCCATCGAATGAATTTGCCGTTGACAAGAAGACTGCTAAGAACTGATATCTCCTTTCATCATTTAGGAGCTTATTAAAAGAAAAATTAGTTCCTCCATACTAAAACTATCAAAATTCATCTGACTGATCTTCTGAAATGATTGACAATAGTGTTAAATGTATTGTGTTTGCAATTCGGATTAGGCATTGTTCAGGATAAAAGTTTTAAATAGGTTGTTTCCGGTAGGCAGGACAAAGGATAGTTTCATATGTTCACAAAGTTATTCCAGAACTTAACTTAGTTCATCTTGGTCAGAAGAGAAAGCTGGGTAAGCATTTTGCGGAGGATTTAAATCTGCACCCTTCCTTTAAACCTTAAACTGTAGTTATTCCAACGACACTCACAGCCAGTCAGAGCAATTGAACCATTTTTATTTTCACGGTGACACCATCGCTAAGACAAGACAAGAGCTATGTGATTCTAAACCTCAGAGAAATGAAGAGACAGAGGCGGGGTAGTTTACCCTACCTCTATTACTGCGTTAGTATTCGTTTTTCGTTGCTTCTTGCTTAACTTTTCATTCTAATACTTAGTATTCTAAGTCGGTTTTGGAAAGAAAGAAGAAAGGCAGCTGGGAAAAGCATAAAATCTCTCATTTTCTTCTTCAATTCTGCGGTAAATAACTATCAAGAGTGAAAGTCTACTGCAGTGATAATAACTCATCCTTTTTTTCTCTTACCTTAAGTTAATTGTATTAGCTTACGGAAGAGTTAATTGTAATTTGAAGCAATTAATGTAGTCAGTATTGCTGAAGGATAAATGTGAAGATGCATTCATTTAGCATCGTATATCTCCAACCTTATGGATTCAGAACAAGTGTCATAAATTCAAGGAATGTATTGCATGCATTGATTGGTTGCTTCAAAGTTTTAAAATTTTAAAGCTGAGTAGAAGTCTGTAGATATAAAAAAATATCAGCCGCTATTTTTACGTATTTCTAATGAGTTTTAATGCTGCCGAATTATCCCATTGATACTTTGTCTTCACTTTTACCAGACTCCATCTTAATCTTATAAATAACATCTTTGATTACCTATTAAACTACATATTGTTGGGAAACAGCCTTGGAATTGCTTAAAATGTAAATAGTTTGAGAAAGGATCATTCATATTCCGATGTTACCCATCGGAATTTTATGTGACGTAGGAACATCCATAAACAGAAAAGTGAAGCATTATATACAACGTTCCTACGTATTATTCTTATATTATTTCATTTATGATACGTAACTTTTTCAGTAGGATTATGATTTCAGTAAATTTTGAGACTCGTTTTAGATGATTTTTTCTAAAGAAAAAACCAAGAATACAAGGAAATCATTTTTCACCAGCAAGTGGAAACGTTATTCACTTTATGGCTTTATTGGTTCTGCAGGTAAAAATTTTGTTATTTATATTAATTTTTTTATTTTCCAACACATTCATTCGTGCGAAATAATAGGGAAAAATGAGACTTCGAATATTCTCCTAACATCATCCTACTGGATGATGTTATCATCTTTGCTTTGCTTTCTTCTGAATAAATTTTGTTCAATAAGATAAATATTTAACGCTTTAGTTTGGCACTACATATACTACACAATCGAGTTCAATGAAAATATTAGAAAACCAGAAGAGCGACGAGATATGACATATATTCAGTGGTTAAAGAAGCAATTCCCGGCATTGAGGCAATATGGTATCCCGTATAGGGAGAACTCAGTGGAAAAAAAATGATTATTAGATGTTGAAATTTAAAGGTTGCTGAAGTTCTGGGGTAGAGTCAATAAGAAGCTATATAGTTTTGTAAAATAACTGGGATTATTCACTTTATTTTTGTCATTAGCGTGATGATATAGTGGAAAATATGATTCAGTTTAACATGATAATAGAGTTCCGGTTCTTGAAGATTTCAGTAATCAGTGGATGCTAATTAAATTGAAGTTCTTAGAAGACATATAACTGATGGAACTTGTGCAGAAGTGGGCGAGAAAAAGCAAAGATTAGAGTATGTTTTTAACGTCTGTATATATAGAAGCCAAAAAACAAGTGCGTTACTTACGCGTTGTTTATACATTGAGGGCATTACTTATACGTTATACAAGACATGATTAGCAAACAATCATCTATCAGAACAAAGTGCTGCATATGCCAAGTCGGCTAGTTTTTTGTAAAATTAGCATGTTTATATTTGGATGTATGCCCAGGGATGTAATCTCACAAGAGGATGGAACTTCGTAAATGAATTTC